GGACTCAGACTGCTGGGCTTCCAGGGACACCATCAAACAGGCCGAGCTGGGAGTGAGGGGACACTAAAAATGATGCAGAGATGCAAATTGAGTAATTAATGAACAGCCAAATAATTATATCACATTGCTGGGCCCATAAAGTAGTTCTATTAACAAGCAAGTTTCAGAAATGAAATTCTGGCTGAAAATAAAGCGTGTCTGTGTTCATTAACACAAAATAAAAGAAGTGTCTCTAAATTAGTTCTCTGCGCACTGCCATAATGACGCTGCAGCTGGATGTGGACTCACGCTGGATTTGCCCATGGCCTTGCCATGCCCCATGAAATCTACCTTTTTAGCTCTTATATTTTTATCTTTTCATAAAATTAGTCTTCAAATTTTTAACTTGTTTCACTAAATTGGAAGTTGTAGACACTTAAATTGTTCATTGCTCATCATATGTTTAATTGAGAAAATATTCTTTCTACTGATGTGAGGTATCAAGTCAGCACGGGGTGATTCTACTAAATAGGAGAACTTGGTTTTACTCCTACATAAATGTGTAAACATTTCAAGCCAAATGTTTTCATAGGCACTATCTTTATGCTTCCTTTCAGAGTACATTTTTTGACAAATATATTTATAAGCTTAAACTTGTCAAAAAATTATATTTATGACTCATTTGAATGTTTCACCATAATTAGATCCTGCAAAATTGTAAGACTTCTCAATTGAGTGCCATTCTGGTCTAGAATACAAAATTATCTAGTTAAAAATAGGCGTTCCCTCAACAGATTCTCCCACAAAGTGAGTTCTGCTGAGGCACAGCCACGGGTCTCAACGTCACGTCGTGTGTGGTTATGATGCATCCATTTAATGTGCTCAGATCTTTGATTTTGGTCCATTTACATTTAATGTAATTACTGGTGAAATTCTTTTAGTCTTGCTGATTGATCTGTCCCATCTGTTTTCACCCCATTCCTTTTGTGTCGAGGAAGCATTACTTAGCCAGTGCTTTCCAGGAACCTCTTTATTGGATACTTAGTTTATATTTTTGTGTTTTTCTTGTAGAGATTGCCTAGAGGTTCAGGTACGCACCCTTGACTTGTCTGCTGTAGAGTGGGGCTTCTGCCACAGCCAAAGCAGCACAAGTGTGGGAGCCTCAGAGGTGTTCAGGAGTGGCCGCTGTAGGGGGGCAGCTGGGGCAGCGCCTGAGGGTCCACCTGGGGCCTGCAGAGGCCACATCTCCCCCAACCCCTCAGTCAAGCCTGGGCTGGAGCAATGCAGTCAGGCCATTCCTGCCTATCGGGATTCCTTGCCTGGGGTACCCGGTGCTTGGGATGGGGGGCCTGGCTCCGACTCTCAGCACCTGCTCAGCCCGAGGCTCTTCCTGCCCATGCCCGGCCCTTTTCCTCAAGCTTGCAGCCAGCACTGAGGTCTGAGATTCTGCTCGCCCCTCCCCCATGCACTCGCAGGCCTGTCCCGTCTCGCAATGTCTCGCGAGTCTAATTTGGTGCGGGAGCTAAAACAGACTCCGAACCTCGCACCAGACCTCAGAGAAGGAGAAATGGAACACGATTCCCTGCCTCGCTCCTGCCCTTTCTCTGTTTTCCTGTTTTACGAAGCTGACACAGAGTTGCAGCTGCTCTAGTCGGCCGTGGCCTCGGGCCCAGCGGTGTCCGTCCCTGCTCGGCTCCCCCCGCAGCGCCCACTGCAGCTGGGACGTCTCTTCTGGCTGCGGCTCTTCCTTTAATAGCGCTCCACGGTCAGTGTCTCCGGCTGCCAGTTTACTTTTATTTGACAGCGTCACTGTTTTTGCCTTCATTTTTGAATGATTTCCACATAATTTCTAGGTTGCGGGATCCCCCACCCCCCGACTTCCACACACCCGTCCTGCCGTCGGCCCCTCGAGCCTGCTCTCTTCTCTCTGGTCTGTCTCCTCCCGGGCACCCCTGGGCCCTTCAGGTACCCAGGCCCTGCCTCCTGCAGCATCCTGGGCAAGTTGAGTCCTTGAGAAGCTTTTTCACTTTAGCTTTTGCCTATTCCGGTTCTGGGATGTCTGGCTTCTCTATGGGTTTCAGTTCCTTGTTCAAAGACTCCATCCTCCAGCCGTGTCTCCCCAGTGGATTGAGCATGGGCTGGGCTGTGCCCGGCTCCCGCCTGTCCAGGAGAGGACACCGTGACGGACGCCCCTCCAGAGCTGCCCCAGCTCTGGTCCAGTGCAAGCAGGAGAGTTGGCTCCTGACCGTCCCCCGGGGCCCGGGTCACAGCCCGGGGCTCTGCATGCGCCCACCTGGGGTCTCTGCAGAAGGCAAGGCCCCCCGCCACCGCAGGACCAGGGAGCAGCAGGACCAGAGACCCAGTGGTGAGGGCTGCCGCCTGGTGAGCTGGGGGCCCTAGCTCTGCCCTCCTCTGGACTTGGGCAGAGCTCTGGAGGTGGAGCGTCTGCAGGTAGAGGCCCCGAGGTAGGCTGGCTGCAACTGGCTTTGAGGCGAGATGGAGGGGTGGCTCTGGGCCCCAGCAGAGGCTGACCTCCGTCCACTCCGGGGCCAGGCCTCCTGCGGGTCTCCACCCAGCAACCACAGCTGCCCTCAATCCTCCATGTCCGGGCTGAGGCCGTGGGTCCGGGAGGGGGGCCAGGCTGTGAGGACGCCTCCGGTCAGGAACACTTAACCTGGCAGTGGTGTGAAGAGTGGGTGGGTCCCCTGCCACCCCACACCTGTGAGCCCTGCTGGACTTAGGGTAGGTCACGTGAGGCTGACCGCAGCCCAGGAGGCACCTGGGCCAAGGCCTGGGGCTCAGCACCCCCGGCTTGGTGGGTGTATCTGAGCCACCACAGACAGCACTCGCGGGCAGGCGCCGCCCCGGAGCAGGGACTGCGGTGCTCACTGAGTCTCTAGCCAACTCCCTGAGCACCGCTGGCCGCCTGGACAGGCTGTGACCTGCGCATTCCTGCTCCCGGGGCTGAGGGGTGTGGGTGGCAGGCTGAGCCATGCCCCCTGCGCCCACCGCGCTCCCACCCAGGCCAGGCCCACCCATGTCAGAGCAGAGAGGCTGCTGCTGTCGGGCCCTGCCCCGGGCCTGCCTGCGGGGTGGGCTCACCACAGGAGACACCGGACCCCGGGGCCTGGGCACTGCCTGGGCTTGGGGGCAGCGAGACTGGGGGCAGGTGCAGGGAGCCGGACCCCAGCATCTGCGCCGCCTGGGGCCTCCTGGCCCTCCTGGGCCTGCGTCTCCCACCTGCAGGCCCCACACACTAATTTTATGTGACGTTTGTTGCCTGGTGCCCTTGGGTGAAAGCAGAGTCTATTCATCTGCAAATGTTTCCTTGAAAGCGGTATTGATTTTTCTCTGCTAAAGAAAAACACTCTAAAAACCGGCAGCCCGGGGTGGCAGCGGGGATTCTTGCCGAGCAAAGCGCTCCTGAGGAGGAAGGGCAGCCCGGGGCTGGGGCCGCCCGCGGGGAGACCTGGGCCTGTCTGCGCCTGCCCCTCTTGGTCTCCCCAGACTTGCCTGGTTGCTCTTCACAGGGACACCCCTCGGGGCGCCCGGCCCTCTGCAGGAGACCAGGCGGCCCCCCAGGGTCCTGAGGCTGGTGGGGCACCTTCGGCCCAGGGGACAGCGCTCTCCCTCCAGGCGCTGGCCAGCCGGCGGCGAGGAAGCGAGCCCAGGAGCAGGCGGCCCCTGACAGCCTGCGGGGTGGGCGGGCGCGGGAGAGGCGGGGCGGCCGGGGAGGGGCGGGGCGCGCACGCTGTGGCTAAGCGGCTGGAGCTGCTACCCGTCATTACTGCTTGTCCCGTCAGCCGCCCCCCGCAGCCTGTCAGACGTCGGGGCTGACTTCGAGGCCCTGCCTTCCGCGAAGGGCTGGAGCCGCGTGGCCGGGCAGGGCTGGGCGGGAGGACCTTCTCCAGCGCGGCCCGAGCGGGGAGGCTCCGGCACCGCCTGGGCCGTCCACCCCGGGCCGGGGCAGGTCCCGCTGCAGAGCCGCCCGGAGCAAGGCCCGCGAGCAGGGGGCGCGAGGCCGGGACACCACCTGCGCAGGCACAGCCCGTGCTGAGTCCAACGGCAACTCCGCGAGGCGCGGGTGTCGCCCTGGAGCGGCCAAGGGCACAGCCTTGGGGTCCGAGCGCGCCTGGGAGCTGTTGGCAGTGTGGCCTCCGGCGCGACCCGCGTCACAACAGGGGCTCTGGGGCCGTCTCAGCTCCTCCCGGCCTGTGTCCCGGTGCTGCTGGCAGCCGCGTCGGGCGCAGCGGCCGCTCTGGGGGCCCGGTGGGGACGCCCTGCAGAGCCCACGGGCTTGACGAGCCAGGCGCGGGTCCCGGGGTGGCCCGCAGCAGATGCAGAAGTGGCCCTGTGTGAGGGGGTGCCGCTCCGAGGGTCCCCAGGGGAGGCCGAGCTGGGGCTCAGGCTGAGGAGGGTGCGGCCCACCTGCCCGGTGTGGGGACCACAGAGACCCGCAGGAGAGCCGGGCCTGCCACGCTGCAAAGGGCCGGCGTCCAGGGCCTGGTGGCCTCGGGAAGCCAGGGCAGTCATCGGGGCGGGCAGTCATCGGGGCGGGCTGAGCAGAGCGAAGCCTGAAAGGGAATGCTGGTCGCTGGCCCTGGAGCCCAGAGACAGACGCTGGGCAGGAGGGCAGGCGCCCCCGGGCCTCGTGAGGGAGGGGCCACGGGGGCGAGGGAGGCCGGCCCAAGGCCCGGAGGGGGTGACAGGACTGCGTCGGTCCCGCTGTCGTCCGGGCACCGGGGCTGTGGGCCGAGGGCCGCGCGGGGCAGGCTCGGCGGACGAGCTTGGGTCTCGGGCCAGGCAGCCGGGAGCCGCCCGTCGTCTGGACCGCCCTTGCTCCGGCCAGGACAGGGCGGTCGCCCCACACGCCGCAGCTCTGCTCTCGCCGGCGGGAGATCTTATTTGCAAGACGACGGGCTTTCCCGGGCTGGAAGCAGAGGCTGTGCGTGTGTCGTGCGCCCTGGCGCGGCTTCACGCCCCGATGGACACCGTCGGGCCCGTCTCCATGACGAAGCAGGCTAGTTGGCAGGCGAGTCCGGGGGAACGCTGCCCAGCCAGAGCTGCCGCCGGCTGGAGGGCTCGGCCCGCCCGGAGCGCCCAGAGGCCCCCAGGCCCATGACCAGGGCCTCAGTCGGGGCCCCAGGAGCCGCGGGGCTGTGGGCCCTGCACGGGGCCTCGTCTCCCTCGCGGGCTGTGGGCGGCTGCCGGTCCTTGGCCCCGCAGCCTCGCCTGAGGTGCCGAAGCGGCCCGGGCCCCTCCAGGCCCACCCACTGTTCCCCCAACTTGCTCCTGGGCGCGCTCAGGGCTGGACACGTGCACACGTGTTCGTGCTCAAGCTCAGCCCCGGCGAGACTGGGCGCTCCTGCCCGAGCTGGCGCAGGCCGGGCTCCCTCGAGGCGTCATTCTGAAGGCAGCCCCCCAGCTCAGCCGCGGGCCCCCCGCCCCCCGCGGGTCTCAGGGCAGGGACGGTGCCCGGGACACTCCCCTGCTCCCCTCCCCAGCGCCCAGGGGGACGCGGCTGGGCCCGGTGCGGCTCTCGGGCTGTGTCCAGGGCGTGGTGGGCCTTTCGGGCAGGGCCCGTCTGCGTGGCAGGAGCCGGGCGCCTGGGCTGGGGCCAGCAGGGTCTGCGGAAGCAAAGGGCAAGGGCTGTGGGGAGGGGCTGGGCTCTCCCCGCGACGGCCTCTGTGCCGAGGTGCCGCCTAGGCCAGCAGCGGCAGGTGCGGGGCCTGTGGCCGGGGCCCTCGCTGTGGGAGGGACGCCTGGTGACCCCCTCCCCGAAGCGGGCCGTGGCCGCTGCAGCCTGAGCCCGGCTTGGGGTCGTCCCACACCCGGACGCCCCGGTGCCCCGTGCCCGCCCCCCCGCTGGTGCTCTCGTGTGGTCTCCACGGCCCTCCTCAGGCACAGGGCCAGGCCCTCCTCCGGGGGCATCTGCCTGGAGCCCTGGCGCCGGCGGGTGCTCAGCCGGGCCCCGCAACGGCCGCCCGTGGACACCCGGGACTGTGCCTGGGCCAGCTCTGAGCCCGGCCCCCTCCTGGGGCTCCCACCGCCCCCACACACTGTGGGGGCCCCTGCAGCTCGGAGGCAGCCACGAGCTCCCCAGGCCTGGCCTCTGGCTTCCCAGAGAAGCGGTCACGTTCTCCCAGGAGCTCTGGAAGAAGTCTGGGGAGACGGTCATTTCCCTCCTGCCAGCGCCGGGAGCAACTAACTGAGCGAGCGCGCGGGGCCGGGCTGAGCTCCTGTCGGAGCTGAGGAGCCGCCCAGAGTCGGTTCTTCTCCAGAGGCGCAGGGGGCAGCGCCTGGGAGGGGAGAGGCCCCGGGCGGGGCAGGGGCAGGGAGCCTGGGCACGAGCCTGGGGCGCAGAGGAAGCGCTGCCTCCTGGAGGGGTTTCCCAAGGTCCCAGGGCGGGCAGGGGGCGGGTGCCCGCAGGCCGGGCCACCTCCTGAGCCCCCTCCTGCTCACCGACACCCCCGGGACTGCATGGCTCCACCCCCCTGTGCCAGGTGACCCCCAGGGCGCTGCCACCTCTGCCCTGAGCCCCGCCTGGGCCTCCCCGCCCACCCCGGGCTCACAGACCGCAGCCCGGGCCACCAGCCTGGCCTCTGGCGCACGCCCAGCAACCCCCCCCCTCACCACCTCACCCCTGCCCACGCCGGCCTCGCCGTCTCCTGGGAGCGCCCCTCTGGCCCGACCGCCCAGCGCCGCGCCCCCGAGGGCGGAGCAGTGAGGCCCTTCCCGGGGCCACCGCCCTGAGACCTCGTCCTCCGCTCCTGCCACCCCGGGCCCGCTGAGCCTTGGGCAGGAGGGACAGGCGGGCGACGCTGGTGAACCCCACGAATTTCGTGGGGAGCTGGGCTCCAGAGGCGGCAGGACTGGCCGAGCAGCTCGGCTTGGTGAAAGGGTGCGATGCCCACGGTGGGGTCCCCAGGGCCGTAAGGGTGGTTGCGAGCTGCCTTGTCCCGCACCTGCCCGGAGGCCCGAGGCGGGAGGGGGGCTCTGCGGGGTGGAGGTGACCCCGGGGCACCCCGAGTGCAGGCCTGGTCGTGGGGCCACTGGGCTATGTGGCGCCTGCACCAGGTGTCGCGCCAGGGAACTGGGGTGCGCTCAGGGCTGCTATTTCACTCCCGAACCCCAAGAACATCACCAGGGGCTCCCTGTGCTGGCCCGCGCCCGGCTGGGTGTTTGGACTGAGGCTGAAATGCGGCTGTAGACACGCGAGGGGACTGAGTGTGTAGACAAGCCGCGCGTGTAGACAAGCCGGAGCTGGATTGGCTGCTCGGAGGGGCTGCGGCCGCCTTCTCGGGATCGTCCAGCACCTGCGGGCGCATCTTGGGGAGATGCGTTCAGGGGCGTCCTGGGACTCTCCCGAGTGCAGGGGGGCCTTGCCGGACTTCGGGCCAGAGGACAGACTCACGTCCCCAGCCCCGCCGCCTGCCCTGCCCAGGCCTGCGAGATGCTGCGGGGGCCACACAGCGGCCTCCCACCCTCCCTCCAGGTCCTGCCCCCCGCGGGCAGCGCGGAGGCTGCAGCTACGGCTGCGCCCCAAGGCCTCGTGACACGTGTGTCCAAGGCAGCGCCCCACGTGGCCAGCAGCCCAGCCTGTCCGCTCCCTCTGTCCGGAGGCGTCCTCCCACGCGCCCACCTGCAGGCCTGGCCTCCCGGTGTGACCGGGGCCCGCAGGCCGCACGGGGTGATTGAGGCACCAGTGCCACGTCCAGCCCTTGCCACCTCTGGGGCTCACCCCGGAGCGCGGGGTCATCAGGGGAAGGGGCCCCTCGGGGCTGGGCCCTGGTCGGCTTGGGGAGGGCGCTGGCTTCAGATGAGTCTGCACACACACGCTCACACGCTCTCGCGCACACACTCCCCCGGTCACACGACTTCCCGGCCACGCCCTGCCTGGCTCGCGCTGGCGCCTGCTCTCGCCCGGTCTGGCCAGGCTGCCCTCTGGATGGGCTTGTTGGGGCTGCCCTGGCCTGCGCAGGTGCCGGCCGCTCCCTCTGGCTGCCTCGGCCGCCCACGTTATGTGTCTCCCCAGCAGGCCCAGGCAGCGCTGCTCCCCACGTGGGCTGGACGTGCTGGGACAGGCAAGGCCCGGCGGAGCCACCCACGGACCAGCTCTGCAGCGCGAGGGCATGAGGGTGGGGCTGCTGGGCCAGCGGGGGTGCGGAGGGAGGACCCCGACCTCACGCTCTAGCCGGACACACCCGCCAACGCCAAGCCCAGCTGGGCAGACAGATGCCAGGCAGACAGACGCCAAGCAGATGCAAGGCAGGCAGGCAGACAGATGCCAGACAGGCAGGCGGACGGGGGCAGGGAGCTACGTGCGCATGTTTTTCTAGAAGACGGTGATACCCAAAGCCTGAGCGGCACACCTGGCACTGCTGGGGCACAGGAACGCTCTGCAGGGGCTCGGCCTCTGCTCCGCGGGGCTGGCCGGAGCGCGGGGCTGGCTGGAGCTCGCCCTCCACGGGGGGAGTAGGTGCCCGCGTGCAGGGCAGCTTGTGCCACCACACCGGGCGGCGACCTCAGCGGCCCTGGGGGCTGCCGCCCGGGGGAAGCCTGATGAGCAGGCCCAGCCCGCGGACGGCGGGGAGCCAGGCGGCCTGGGACGGCCCCGCACCCGGGCCTGCCAGCAACGCACATGCTTCCTCGCTCACACCTTACTTTGCACACTTTCTGCAGAAAAACCCTGAATTTCACAATCTACCGGGCGACGCTTGCTCAGGAGCCACAGGCAGCAGCGCGGCGGCCTCTTCACCGCCTGGTCAGCGCGGACGGCAGCCCCACGGTGCTGCCCTGCACTTGCCCGCCCGCGGGGCTGGCCCGGCTCCAGCATGTGCACGCACGCACACACTCACACGCACGCATGTTTCCCTCCAGTGGCAGCAGGATCAGCACCTCGGCCCCCAGAGCTTGGGGTGCCCTGTGCAGCTGTCCATGCCCACGCCCCCCAGAGTCAGGCCCGGGAGGAAGGCAGAGCCCCTGGGCCCCTGCGCCCCACCGGCCTCCCTATTTCACTCAGACCAGCTGACTCCTGACCTCGGGCCCCCCTCAGGACGACTTGGAAGTGGGGGGACCTACCTACACTGCTGGGGCCGTGGCCTGCGGCTCGGGGGAGTTTCACGGCCCAGGAGACCCCGCAGAGAACGGTCAGGTGGGGGGGCGCGAGGTCCAGGTGAGAAGGGGCGGCCTTCCAGGGGCAGCCGGCGCCCAACCTGCCACGGGCCTGGGGTCCGGCCTGGCCTGGGGTCCCGCCCGGCCTGGGGTCTGGCCTGGGGCAGAGCCGCCCGCAGGGACTGTGGGACGGAAGGCCATGGGGCCGACCGCCTCGGAGCCGCCGCAGGAAGCGATTTCAGGACTTTCCAACGTGCCCCGGGCAGTCGCGCTGCCCAGAGCCGCCTTGCGCCGGGGGACGACGAGGAGGCCCCCAGCCGCAGCCGGGTGGACAAGCGGCGGAGGGGCGGCCGGACCAGGCCCCGGCCTTCCCCCCACAGCCCTGCAGCCGCGCGCCTGCGGGAGCGTGTCCGGCCGGGGAGATTCATCTGGTTTTCAAGGGCCCGGCCTGGTAAGGGGGTCCCCTTGGCCTGGGCCGCCCCGAGCCGCTTCCTCCCAGGGCCCCGCTTGAGGAGACAGCGCTGCCACCCCGCGGCCTCCCGCGCCCGGCAGAGGCCAGCGGGGGGCAGCGGGGGGCAGCGGGGGCCAGCGGACGGCCAGTGGCGCGGCCCGGAGGGGCTGGGCAGGGAAAACCCAAAGGCTGCGGCTCGGTGGCCGCGCTCAGGGCCTGGGGCGCGCTCAGACCAGGCGCCCCGCGCGGCGCGAGGCCGGGACTGGACCCCGCTCGTGGGAGCCTCGCGCCCTGGGGCCGCCCCTGCCGGCAAGGGCGCCCCAGGGGGCGCTGAGCAGCCCGGGGAGGGGCGCTGGGTCCCCACTCCCTTGGCACCCGCTGGCCCGTCCTCCGCGCGGCGGCTGTTGGGCCCCCCCGCCCCCCACCGTGCCCCGCCCGGCCGCCCCGTCCTCACCCGACCCCGCCGCGCCCTCCCCCGCCCCCCCTGCCCCCTCCAACTCCCGCCCCCCCAACCCCCACCCCCCCGCGGTCCGGGCGCCGGCCTTGGGCACCGTCCCCTGGAGGCGCCTGTCCCCGGGGCGCGGCCGTGGCCAGCGGGGCCCGCGCGGACCTCGGGCCGGAGCCCCCCAGCGACGGCGGAGCCCCCGAGCGGCCCCGCCCCCGCCTCCCCCGCCCGGCCGGCCGCGGCCGCGTGTCTGACCCGCCGGTTAGTTTTCGCGGCTGGACTTAAGTCGCGGCCAGGTTCCTCGTCCACCCCACGCGGCCATCGCGCCCGCACCCGCCGAGGCCCCGCGGCCCCGCCTCAGGCCGCTGGCGCTGGCGCTGACCGCTGGCGCTGACCGCTGACCGCTGGCGCTGGCGCTGACCGCCGGCGCTGGCCGCTGGTGCTGGCCGCTAACCGCTGGCGCTGGCCGCTGGCGCTGCGCTCCGGGCGCGCCCGTGGGGCCAGGGCCACGCTCTGCCCGCCGGGCGGCATCTGCTCCGCCCAGGGCCCGGTGTCCACTCCCCGCACCGTGCCGTGCAGCCCGAGGCCAGGGAGACGGACACCCCCATTCTCTTCTTTGGGGTCTTGCTGCTGGGGGTCCTTCGTGGTTTTGTGATTGTTCACAATGTTTCCCCGGAAAAGTCCTCGGGGTCTCCCGGGGCGCTGCCCGCGGCCTCCGCAGCGCAGGGTCGTCCCGGCTGCCCAGGGCGAGGCCCACAGGGCGCTGCCCCGCCGCGGCCTGTGCTGCTCCCGCTCTGCCCGCTGAGCCCCTCCTGCGCTCCGGCCTGCACCCCGGTTCTCGCAGATGTGAATAAACCAAAAAAAGAAGAAAGAGAAAGTCCCGGGACGTGGGGTCGTGTCAGGGCCCCGAACTGCTCGGTGCCTCGGCCGCTGCCGCGTCCCTCTCGCCGTCGTGGGGCCGGCACCGCGCGTTCCCCGGTTTCTTCCGACCTGTCTTGCAATGTCCCGGGCGGGGCGGGGCGGCCTGGCCTCGCCCTCTTGGCCCTGGGGGGTCGCCCCTCCGGCGGGCCAGGAAGGGGGTGTCTTCCTTCGGCCACGCTGTTTTCTAGCCCACTGTTGGCACGTGGGCTTGTGCCGGTCCTGCGCGGCCGCCCCACCGCGTCCATGTGTGTCTGAGGTGCCCGCAGAGCCCTTTAATCTCCTGACGGTCAGCATCGGGAGGGCCCCACTTCTTCCCCGGCGCGGGTTCCTGCTGCGCCTCGCCTTGCCCGGCTGCTCCAGCTGGCACGTCGGGCACCAGGGCGGGCAGCGGGGCGCGCTCCTCGGCGCTGCTCCCCCAGAGGGCTGCCCGCTCTCCACCGCGGGCAGGCTGTCCGCCGAGGCCTGGCGTGTGGGACCTTCAGGGCGCGGGGTGTGTTCCTTTTATTCTCATTTTACTGACAGGTTTTGTTTCCGGTCGTCAGTGGTCGCGGGATCTTGGGAAAGGTTTTATCAGCCTCTGTTGAACTGTGTGATTTTCATCTCGCGCTTTGCTGACGTGCACAGTGACAGCGACGGGCGGGCGTGCGGAGAGCCCACCTGGCTGCCCTGCGGCGTAGCCCTCTTGATCGCGGTGGATAATTCTCTTACTATGTCGCTCATTCGGTTTGCCAAGATTTTGTTCAGGATGTTTCTTCTGTGTGAATCAGGGGCCTCAAGCTGTGGTTTTCCTGCTCTGTGCGTCCTGTCTGGTTGGGAGGACGTGCCGCGGGCCTCGTGGGGCGTGGGGGGGCCCTCGCTCTCTTCAGTTCTTTCGAAGAGTCTGACCAGGATAGACAGGAGGTTTTCTTTGAGGGTTTGGTAGAATCACCGGGGGAACCATCTGCTCCTGGGGTTTTGTTCTTAGGGGACTTTGTGATTCCACTTTCAATACCGGGCTGGGGACTGATCGGCGCAGGCCGTCTGTTTCATCCCGGAGGCCTTGGAACGTTCTATGGTTCTAAAAACTTGCCCGATTTGTTTGCACAGAGATGTCGGTTATGGCTCAGGGCTTTTGTATTTCCGAAGCATCTCCTGTGGCTTCGCCTCTTTCGCTTCTGATTCTTTTTAACTTGGGCTTTGCCGCTGCTTCTGGAGCCTTGCTAAGGGCTGTCAGTTTTGTTTATATTTTTAAAGAGCGAGATCTTAGTTTTAATGATCTTTGTATCATCCTTTTGGTTTCTATTTCACTTAATTTCCGCTGTAATCTTTTTATCATCTCCTTCCTTCTCCTGATTTTGGATTCCTTTGTTCTCCCCCACCCCTCTCAGATGTAAAACTCGATTGTTTAGTTGGTATTTTTCTGGTTTATTGACGTGGGCCTGTGCTGCTCTGTACTTCCCTTTAACGGCACTTCAGTGCGTCCCAGAGGATCTGGTGGCTTGTCTCTTCATTTTCTTCAGTCTCCAGGTAATTTTTTATTTCTCTTTTAATTTCTTCATTGAACCAGGAATTATTCAAAAGCATTTTGTTTAGTCTTTACATGCTTGAGTTTTTTTTTTTTTTACATGCTTGAGTTTTTTTCCCATGGTCCTTTTGTGGTTGATTTCTAGCTTGATACCATTGTGATAAGAAAAGATGACGGATATAATTTCAACTTTCATATTGTTGAAGCATGTTTTGTGCCTCAGCATGTGATCCATCCTTGAGCCTGTCCCTGGAACTTGAAGAGAACGCACACTCGTTTTCCTTGACACGAGGACTCTTCACATGGCTGTGGAGTCCACCTGACCCGTCGTTTCCTTGTCTCCTTTCTGTCTGACCTACCCACAGGCCCGGGTGCGCCGAAAGCCCCTACTGTCACGGCGTTGCAGGCAGTGTGTTGCTTTAGGTCTGTTAAAGTGGTTTTTTGTTTGGGGATGATCTGTGGTGGGCCTATGAATATTGATGGCAGTTGTATCTTTTTGATGAATTTCTCCTTTCACCATTTATAGAGCCTGTCTTTGCTACTAATAACCTTTTTTGGCTGAAAGTCTGAGTTATTGGGTAAGAGAACGGTTGTCTTTGCGTTTTCCCTCTGTGTTGTTGGCCTGAAATACCTCTCAGCCTTTACTTTCAGACAGCGTTTGTCTAGATCTGATGTAGGCTTCTGCATGTGTAATATAGATGGGTCATCCTTTTTTTTTTTAAACACAGGCTGTCATTCTGTGTCTTTTAATTGATGAGCTTAAACCATTCGCATTTAGGGTGATTACTGATAGAGGAGATTTACTCACTGCCATGCTTTCTCTCTCTCTCATTTTGTTTCGTGTTGTTTCTTTTTCCATGTGTTTCTGTCTTCTCTTCATCTTGGATGGATTTCCCTGGTGGTTCTCTCAGTTTCTTCTTTTCTTCTTCTAAGTGTCTCTGCTCTAGATTTTAGTTTTTCTGGTTACCATAGGCTCTGTCAGACTGTCTATATCTCAATAGGCTGTTCTTTTTTTTTTAAAAAAAAAGATTTATTTATTTATTTATACAAGCACTGGGTACAGTCAGAAGCGCGGGAGGGTGAGAGGATTCACCAGAGCCAGAGCGGGGAGCAGAGCAGGCAGAAGGACCGAAGGACACTGCTGAGGGGAGCAGTGGGCGGCAGGAGAGGTCTGCGCGCCATGTGGGACCCTCCTCCGGTGGCCGGGGAGCGCCCGGGGATCGAACTGGCGCTGCAGAGGACGCGGGCAGCTTCGCAACCCAGCGCTCAACCGCTGCGCCACCGGGGAGGCCTCAATAGGCTGTTCTTGTGCTGGTTTCAGCTCGGTCAGCCGACTGTACGGACGTGGCCCTCCCTCACGCCCCTTGAGTGGCTGCTGTGTCTCACGTGGTTCTTGTTTACACTTCCGCGTCTTATTACTATTCGTCACCTCACTCAAGAGTTTTCATTCTTTTGGGTTTTTTCTTTTCGTATAGGAGAACGCTTTTCAATATTTCTTGGAAGCGTATTGCCAGCAGTAAACTTTAATACCTTTTGTTTGAAAAAACAGTTTGTTTCCCTATCATATTTAATGACATCCTCGACTGGTAGTTTCGCTCTTTAGAGTTGTAAGTATGTCATTCCGCTCTCTTGGGGCCTTGAGAGTCCCTGCAGAGAAATCTGGTAAAAGTAACACTGAGGTGCCTTTGGAAGTCGGTCTTTTCGCCCTCACAGACTTTAACTTTTTCCTTTCATCTTTGACTTTGGTAAGTTAGTAACGCTGTGTCTCGGTGGCAGTCGCCTGGCTTTTAGAGATGTGGGTGTCCTCCGCCTGCCGGACATGCCCGGTCAGTCTTTCGTGGGCGTGTTTCTGTGCTCAGGGGCTCAGTTCCTCCTCCCTCTGCCCCTTCTTGTGTGTCCATTGTCCTCAGTCCCTCTTCCACTGGACTCTGAGGTTTCTCCCAGAGTTTCTTCCCTTGTCCTAAATTTCACTTCTCTTTCTTCTTTTACTTGGGTCATTTGTACATTTATATGGTCAATTTCCACAATTCTCGTTTCTACAGCTTGAGTCGCTCACTGTGCCTTCTCATCTCATTAAACATGTCTTTCTGTGTTTCTTTCTAATATCGTCAACGTCTTTAGTGAAGATCTCTTTCTGTTCCTAGATCTATTTTCTAAGAGCCTGAACCTTTAATTTAGTCAATCCTGGAGTGAGATGGGGAGAAGAAATAAAATAATTTCTCCTTTTTCAGTTTCCTGGGTTAGCACTTGCAGGGTACAGACGGTTGGCGGCGAAGACCACCTTCTTCTCTCCTTCCACCTCTGCCTGCCCCGTCTGCAGGGGGCCACAGCTCAAGCCCGCAGGGTGCAGGAGCTAGCACAGGCGTCCAGCTCAGGGTTCTGGGCCAGGAACACGTGACGGCCATGCGAGTTGGGTCCCCGTGGCAGAAGCACCTCCCAGCGTGCAGAGACGCATCATCCACGCTGGCCTCGGTGGCTCTGGGGCCACCATGTGGACAAGCTCGGGCAACACTGGGAGCTCGAGGGGCTTGACGGCTGCTCTCCAGGTCGGGCTCTCCTTCTGGCCCGTGTGTGAGGGCCGATCCCACACCAGCTGCTGTGGGGGCATCAAGGTATAAGGCAGGCAGCCTGGGGCCCCTGGATGCTTGGCTGCATCCGGAGAGTTGGACACTCCTGGTCTCAGGCCCACCCCAACCTGAGCCAGGAGGAAACAAGCTCGAGATGCCAGGGGCCCGCCCCAGTGGCCACACATAGATGTCCACCTCCCTGTGCCTCTGTGGCCCATCTCCATGAGTTCCAGAACATTCCCAGGCACCTCAGACACCAGCCATTACCCTGCACCCTGAGCTGCAGCCTGGGCAAGAATCTGTGAGTGGGAGGCTGGTTTGGGGACTCACCCCCGGGGCAGAAGGGGCCCTGAAGACCAGCATGAGAAGAGGGGAGCAAATCCCAGGTGCGGTGAAGCTCGCCGGCTCCACAGGGTGTTTGTTTGTCTTCCACCCGAGTGAGGGCGAGCGTTGTCCCTGGTCCTGGCCATGCAGAGGATGAGCAGGGGCTGGGCAGGGAGCTGAAGGAAAGGCACTGGCTTACTGACTGCACTACAGCTGGGAACTGAGGGACCAAGGAGAGCCAGCTGTCCACTCCCAGGACAACGCCCTGCCCACCTGCTCAGCCACCAGGACCGGGGAGTGAGGCCTGGGCAGGCACCAGGACAGCCCAGTGAGAGTCACTGCTGTGGATGACAGGGCACTGCCACCCCAGACCAGTGGGCACTGTGGAGTACTGTCATGGGGACCCAGAAGCGCATCCTCTCGGTCACTCCAGTTGCGGGTCACAGCCCTGGAGACGGACAGACCTTGATGCGAGCCAAGAAGTGCGAGAAAGGCCCAAAGGTGTTGGGTGTTGGCCCAGTGGCCCGACCCAAGGGCTTGGCCAGTTTCTGCCCAGAGGGAGGCCCTCAGGGGCGTGGGTCGAGAAGGAGCTGCCCAGGATGGCAAGGGGCTCGCAAATCTTGTGACATGGCCCCTCGCCGGGACAGGCGCCCACTGACCCTGGACGGGGTGGCATGGAGTTCTCTTTAGGGCAATGTCAGCCCCCAGAGCAGGGCGTCCAGGCCGAGCCGTCCACTCTGTGGTGTTTCTCCCCCTGGAAGCAGGTGCTCCTCAAGTGGGGTCTGCATGGTGACCTGCACCCTTGCTCGACGGGTGGCCACATCAGGCAAGGGGACACGCCCAGCTGGGCTGCCCTTGGCCAGGGCCCTGGAGCAAGCCGTGGCCACTCCACCCCGGCCAGCCCCACAGCAACCTGGCTGGGCCCCTCGAGACCCTTTTCTGCATCTGGGAAGGGAAGAGGCAGCTCAGCCTCGGGCTTCCCTGAGCAGGTCTGGCCAGACCCGTCCCCTGCGACCTGACCCGGGCCCCGGCGCAGAAATCACACGGATTTCGGACCTGAGGCTCTTTCAATCACCTCTCTCAGCTGGAGACCCAGACTCTGCTAACTTCGCGGGGGCGCTGCCAGCCTCCCGGGCTGCAGAGCGTGAAAACAATGTAATATAGTGATTCAATTTTCTACAGAATCAGTTAGCAATTAAACCCGGACTGTTTGGGAAGAGATATTAAATTCTAAAGAGAATTGCCATTTCAACTTTAACTTTTCTGAGCAACAAAGGGATAATGGGGAACCCCTAGGAAGTTTCTCCTGAATTTCAGTGAGGAAATTATGAAAATTGAGGTCAAATGTCCTCCGGGACGCTCTAAATGCATCTGTGACCTTGATGCGGGGCTGGGGAGCAGCAGGGAGGGCGGTTTTCTTTCGGGGTTCGCCTGCTTTGTCCCAATTACCGGGCCTGGGGAAACCCGAGGCGTTCTCGCCACGCCGGTTGTGGTCATGGGAAGCGCTGAATGTTCCACGCAGACGGTTCCAGAAATACAGTCCTTCTCCTAGAGGGAAATCAGTGGCAGCGCTGACCGCCCCATTTTACCTGCGCATTTCTCCATCATCCAAGCGCCCCGTGGCCAGCCCGGCCCTCGCCCGTGGCCAGCTCCCCCCCACCACCCGTGGCCAGCCCTGCCTCCTGGACTCGCTGCAGGTCCCCGGCCCTGGGGCATCAGGGAGGCCTTGGGGAGAGTCGGTCACATACCCGGGGTTCCAAAGCACCCGGCTGGGCGGGGGACCCCACTCGTCTGCTGAGGCACCACACCCCCTGCTGTGGGCCGGGGGAGCACCCCGTGCACCCCTGAGTGGGGGGGGCCTGTCCCCGCGCGGGCGCGGCCGGGGTCTACTCCAGTGCTTGGGCTCCGGGGCGAGGTCGCCGCTCCCAGCCAGGGGTTGGCTGAGTCGGGGTCCATGCGGGGCGTACAGGGCCCCTGCGGGTGCTGGAGTCTGGCTGGACTCGAACAGGGGCCACCGGGGAAGCAAGCTCGGGGACAGTGGCCAGAACCCGGAAATGCTAAGCCCCAGAGACCACGGAGAAGCGAAGGTGGTGGGGAGGGGCTGTCCCCCAGGGTGGGCGGCAGGTGGAGGCCTGGGGGGTGGGGAGTGGGGGGCGGCTGCTCTCCTGGGTGCCCTGAAAATGGGTGCATTGCCTCTAGAAGCTGCTGCGCCAGCTTCTAAATCGTCCCCACACCGGGTAAATCTGCAAACTTCCTCCTGCTTTCAGGAGAAAGTTCCACCCCACGCTGCCCACTGGGCGCCGCCTAGTGCCCCTTGGTCCTCATGGCCTGTCTGGGAGCAGTGCCCCCCCGGGGCACCCATCCTAACCTGACTCCTCGTGGGTCCAAGGGGCAGATCCCCGCCCGGGTCTCTAAATAGCTGGTCCTCTCTGCCAGTCCTGAAGGGCTCCCCTGACCCCTGCCCCTCTCTTCCCCTGCCCCCCCCCACCTCCAGGGGCACAGGCAAGCCCACCTGGCCCCACCCCCTCCACCTGTGGGGTGCTGGGCTCCAACCACTGTCCAGCAGCTTCCGCTGGGCCATGGGCTGGCCAGGTCCCCTGCAGGCTGGCCTGGGGTGGGGCTGGATGCTCCCCAGCTCCGTCCCTGCAGGTGCTCGGGGTGCAGCCCCTTCAGGCCTCGCAGATGACCTGGCTGCCGGCCCGCATGCCATGCTGCCCTGCTGTGGCACAGGGGGTGGGGGCACGCAGGTTCATCCTCCCTGCTCTAAGCACAGGACAGCGGAAGCAGCGGACACTCTCAGGGGCTGAGGGAGCCCTCCTGGCAGCCAGACGAGAGTCTGCTGGGTCAGCAGAGTGGACCAGGCCCCCCAAAAGCCCAAAGTTCACCCCGTGCAGCCACCCCAGGGCCCCCAAGTCTGTGTTTGGCTGCAGGAGGTAGGAACAGCCAGGCGCGGATGCCAAGGGGGATTGCTCTGGGCGGGCGCTGGTTCTCAGAGGTCGGACCCAGAGACAGGTTGATCGTGAGGGCGACCACGCCGGGGTCCCCCTGGTTCCTGCCGCGCCCCTGCAGGTGCGGAGCTGGCCAGTGTCATGGGCTCAGGTCTTCTCTGTCCGGCAGGGCCTGGCGGGGGAGGGCCCTTTGCCTGGGAGCAGACGCGCAGCCTGTTCCGGCTTTGAACCGGCGCTGCTCGCCGCCTGCTGGGGGGAAGGCTCCCCGAACGCGCCCGGCATGTCCACGGGCTTGCGGAGGCCAGCAGCGGACGCTGTGTGTTCTCCAGACACACGGCCAGCAGCAGCCCGTCTCGCCCCTGCTGCTCCCCTGCGCTCAGTCTGACCACGAGGAGCTGTCGGGGAGGGCACAGGGCGGAGGGGCAGAAGCTGAGGGGAAGGGGCAGCGAGCCCCCCCCAACCCCCGTGCCTCAGGCCGCCTGCTCTCTGTCCTCCTGCCTGGCCAGGCCGTGGGAGGGCTGACCGCTCTGTCCTGAGTGGCCGCGCTGGGCCCGATGACAACGCGGCCTCCTCTGCTGCCCGGGCCCCCCGCAGCCCTGCCCGAATTCCGCATCTGCGCCCGGCGGGGCGTGTGCCCGGCCTCGACGCGCTCGCCTCTCACCAGCCAGCACGGCCCTCGCCCGTGACGAAGATAAACAGGCGGAGCCCGCCCCGCACTGGCCCCGGACGGCTCAGGCCACAAGGGCCAAGGACGGGGCGGGGGCCGCAGGCCCACGGTGAGCGGGTCGGGGCGGGGGAGCGAGGTGGGGGGCCCCACCATACACACTCATGCGCGCGCACACATTCTGGGCACCGTGGCCTAGAGATTATTCCAGAGACAACAGCTGTAATTTCACAGGCAGCCGATGCTCCTCCCTCAGCCTCAGCGCCGAGCACGGGGGCCGTGAGCGTGGGGCCTGGAGCAGCCTCTCCTGAGAGCGACGCGCGTGGAGAAGCCGCAGGACAGGCTCCCACGGCGCGGGAGCGGGCATGGGCACAGGGAGAGGCGGCCACGCCTCCCTTCCCGACCGGGCAGCCTCTGCCCTTCCTGACTGTGCAGCCTCTGTCACCTCTTAACCGCAGCCCGAGCAGTTCGCCTGCCCGCGACCTTCCGTTCTGTCATCTACAGAAACGCGCCGGCGTGCGAATGAGGAGCCGTGACCACGGGCGGTGCGGCCCCCCACCCCGTGTCTCCCTGGCGCTCAGCCACATGGGTCCCCAGGTCCCTCGGCCAGACCCCACAGGGTGAAGCGTGTGGGCACACCGGCCGATTGCCCCCGCCTGCCGCTCCCACTCAGCAAGCAACACGGGGGGCCCAATGGCCGAGAATGGGCCGAGCTTGAGCAGCTTCTCCCCTGGCTCTAGAAGGACGCCCCGAGGGGTGGCCCCGCGTCAGAACCTGGGGGGTCCATGCCAAGACCCTCTTGCCCGCAGCCTCCCTCTGGCCCGTCACCCTCCCTCACTGCCCTGCGACCGGCGCCCCGCGGCAGCACAGAGGGGCCCCTCGGCTGTCCACGGGGAGGCCCCTCGCTGTGTGCCGAGCCGGGCCGCCCGCCGCCCGGGTGCCTGGGCCACGCGCTGCTCCAGGGCGGCCGAGGCTGGGGCTCCTGGCGGGGCGCGGACAGAGCGCGGCCCCGTGCGGCTGCCCCGGCCGGTCCGGTCTGCGCGCGGCCTCCTTGGACCCCGGGCCCGGCCTGAGTGCCCAGGCGGCCCAGCGGGGCCGCGCGCAGCAGGAGGGGGCGGGAGCGGGTCTGCCCCTGGCGGCCGTGCTGGCTGAGGCGGCGGGGACGGGGACGGGGGGGGGGGGGGGGGGGGGGGGGGGGGGGGCGCTGCCGGTGGGGTCTGGGGCGCGGCCCGCTGAGCGCTGGCAACACTCGCGTGTGGGCCCCGGGTCGGCGCCGCGTCCCAGCCCCGGGCCGGAGGTGCCCTCCGCGGCCGCGTCTCGACCCAGGCGGGCAGAGGTCGCCTCAAGGACACGACCTGTCGCTCGTGAGAAATCTGTTCTTTCCTCGCTCAAAGGGGCGTTTCGGCCCATTGTTCCCACGGCGCAGGAACGGGCCCAGGCCCTGGGGCGGGCGACGCCGGACCCGCGAGCCCCGTGGCCTCCGTCGCCCGCCTGCGCCCCGGCCGCCTCCCTCCAGCGGGAGACACCGGCTCCGCCCGCCAGCGCTGGGGCCCAGGGCAGTCCGCTGCCGGCAAGGATGAAACGGTGGGGGGACCCCTGTCCTGGGGCCTGGCCTCGTGGAGGCGCCCACCAGGGCCTGGGGCCGGGCTGAGACCCGAGCGCCCGCGTTTGCGGGCCCGGAGCAGACTCCAGACACGCCGCGCCACACGAGGGGCTGCGGGCTCGTGACAGTGGGCGGGGGGCGCCCGCACCCCCACCCCGGGAGCTCGGGCACAGCTGGCCCAGGGCCCGCGGCAGGACCCCGAGAGCCCAGGAGGGCCGGCTCAGAGCAAGGGGTGGCGGGACCCAGGGGGCATTAAGAGAGAGAGGCCCGTCCTGTCAGCAATAGGACCTTCGGATGTCCGTGAGCCCACCCCCGCCGCCCGCCCCAGACACCCCGAGGGGCCCCCCAGGCCTGCACGGGAGGCACGGCTGCCTGGGCGCGGGGCCGGGGCCCGGGCACACGGGCTCCATCGGGCTCCCCCGCCTCGCCCGTGCCCCTCCTGCCCCCGGGTCCCCACCGCCCTGTGCTGTCTCGCAAGCCCCCCGAGCCCCAGAGCCGATTCACTCTTCCTGGTGTCGTCACCTCCTGACCCGCCCCGAGAACCACGCAGCCCGGGGCTGTCTGGCCCCAGGTGAGGCGGCTCAGCGCCAGGTGCGCCCCCACCGCCCCCGCCTCCAGGTGGCCTCAGGCCGCCACCCGCGTGGGGAAGCGGAAAGGGCCCTGCACGCCTCCCCGTCATCGGGGCCGGCTCCCGGCTGGCCGAGCTCAGGGGCCGAGAAATGAAACGTGGAGCCACTGGGGCTCGGGGATCATCCCAGGCCGGGTCTGCCTGCGCGGCCCTCGCTGGAAAGGCCAGCTCCCGGGGGCGCCAGGGTGCCGGGCCGCGGGACAGCGTGGCGCTCCCCGGACCTGACAGCGGCACGGCAGCGGCCCCCCGCCCCCCTTGAGCCCTCGGCCTTTGCCCAGCCTGTGCCCAGCCTTGCCCAGCTGCCGCAGGGTGGCGGGGACGCCGCGGGGCAAACCCCCTGCGTAGCCAGAGCAGCCCACACCAAGGCAGCGGGCCCCGCCGGAGGGGCAGCATCCTGCCCGGCGCCCCGGACCCCCGCAGCCGCTGTCGCATGGACGCCCCCCCCACCCCACAAGCCCCTGCGCGAAGGGGCGCCCGGAGCCCCGCTGGCCTCCAGGAAGCGCTCGCTGGCGCTCACGGGGAAGCCGGTGTCCCCCCCGCTGGGACTCCCCGCGGGCAGCGCCTTCATGGACAAAGGGGAGGGGCACCGGAGGAACCCCGTTATTTCCCTGGAAGTCGGAGGCAGCCGCAGCAGACGAGCGGGCTCGCCGCCAAGTGGGCCGAGACCAAACCGGTGATGCTTGGCTCTGGGGGAGGGCGCGCCGGCCTCCCGCCCCCCGAAGCCTCCGGACCCGCCCCTGCTGCCAGGTGGGACGCGGGCCCTACGGAGAGGCCACAGGGGGCAGCTCAGAGCCCCTCGTGGGCCGCCGGGCAGGCTCCCGAGGGCCCGCGCGGTGGGGCCTGTGGCGGGGCCGGTCGGCGTCCGACTCACCGTGAAGCTCCCAGGGCTGGACCCTGCGGCGCCCGCGCCTCCCGCGGGTCCTTCTCCCTCGGGGCGTCCGCGGGCTGGGGGGCCGTCACAGCTGCGGATGGGGCGGGTTGGGGTGTTTCCCCCCGGGAGAGGAGGCGGCCACCTGACGGTTCGCTTCCAACGCTGCTTGGAAACCGCCAGGAGCGCGGGCGGGTCCCCGGCCTGCCGGCCGCTCTGAGCCCACAGACGCCCCAGCTTCGAGTCCGGGGCGCCCCGGCCCCTCTCAGCCGTCGCCACGGACGCGTGTGCCTGGACGACCTGGGGAGAGCCCCGCGCCCCCGCGTCTCCCCGCGTGGTCTCCCCACGGCTGCCCCTGGGTCTCGCCTGCTTCACCGTCTGAGGTTCTCGAGACCGCGTGAGTCGGGGAGTCCCCGAAGCCCCCCCCGCCCCCCCGCCCTCCCCGTCACGCTCCCTGGGGGGCCCCCATGCCGGGCCGGGGCCGCACCGTGTCCCGAGCTCACCGCCGCGCGTGTTCGCGGTGGGTCCGACCACGCGGGGCCGGGCCGCCCGGGCGCAGGACGCCCTTGGAGTCTGAGCGGGTGGGGCCGAGAGGCGGCCGGCGGGCAGGGGCGGCAGGGGCGGCAGGGCCACGCAGGGCTGGGACGGGCCTGTGCCCTCCGCCCGGTCTGGGCTGGCGGCGGCTTCCGGACAAGTGCCCCGCGGGACGGGAGGTGGACGCGGCGGTCGCCCGCACTCTGGGCCGGAATGGCCACCGCCCTCGGGTTCCTGCCAGCCGGGCACAGAGCCCAGGTCCGGGCAGGTGACGCGAGGCTCCTCGTCGGGGGTCCAAGGACTCGGGGCCGCGTGTCCAGGGCGTCCGGCGAGCACCAGGCGCCCCGGTGGTGGCTCTGGGCCGCTGTGGCCTGTGGCCCCCCGAGCGCCCTCGGACCTCTGGCCCCCAGAGCCGCGCGTCCGTGCTCGGGAGAGCCGACCCGAGAAGAGCGGCGGCCGGTTCTGCACGGCTGCCGGGGCTCCGGGGCTGGTGGCGGTGGGCACCGTGGGCGGGACGGGGCACCGGAGCCTGGGCTCCCGGAGGAGGGGACGGTGGCGGGGCGGCCATGAGAGTTCGGAGGGACGGAGTGGCTGGAGCAGGTGCCCCGTGGGGGGACCCCACGCCCCAGGGACGAAGGACGCGCGGCCGGAAGCGTCCTCAGGGCTGGAAGGCACAGGGGTCAGCGGGGGTCAGAGCAAAGCTTGTCCTGGAACCGTCGACACCTGACCGCGTCCTCGCCCCTTCAGAGCCTGGGCAGGTGTTCCGGCGGCCCGTGCCCGCTTACGGCTGAGGAGGCCAGCGCACCCCGGCCGCGCACACACGGCCAGCGTGGAGAGGGTCATCGCCGACCCGCTCCCGATCCTTCAAGCGGCTGCGCTCCCCTGGGGACGCGGTGACAGGAGGCGCAGCTCCTCGGGGCGCGCAGGGACACGGCGTGTGGGAGCAGAGGGGCTCCGTCCCCGGGGCGGGCACGGGAGGGCTCCCGCTGGACGCTGGCCTGCCGCAGGGGCCCAGCTCCGGGCGGCAGGTGACTGAGCGGCTCCCGGCCCAGGGACGGAGGAGCCCAGGGGGTCGGGCTCGTGCCCTGCGGGGCTGCTGGTCAGCCTGGCTCCCGCTGTGCCAGTGGGTCGCGTGCCCTCCCGGGCCGACCCGGCGCATGGGAGGAGCTCTCAGGGCCCGGCACTTGCTCAGCCGCCAAGAGCCCGCCCCGGCCCCGCAGGCCCTGCCCGCCCCCGCCCCGCCCCGGAGCAGGAGACAGTTCGCTGCCCGGTCTGGCCGGGCGCCCCGGCTCTGAAAGGCGGAAGGAGACCCGTTCACAGACTCCCAGACCATCGCCGGGCACCGTCGGGAGGGCGGGGGGCTGCAGGCAGACGAGGAGGGGTCCCGGAGCCCCCAGAGTCAGCCAGCCCCTCTCCCCCACCTGCTGCGCAGATGACGGCTCCCCTGCTCACGCACACGCACCCACTCGCACACCCCCCACGCACCACACGCACACGCACCACCCCCACACACACACGCACACGCACCACATGCACACACACCACACACACACATGACCACACACACATGCGCCCCCATACACACCACACCACACACCACACGCACACGCACCACACACACCACACGCATGTGCACACAAAGTCTGAGGAAAAAGAAAGTGCGGCAGGTGGCAGGCACTGGGCTGGCCGCTCCAGGGTCCGCTGGCCACGGCTCCCCGGTCCTGGCGGCCATCTTCCCGGCAGCCGGCATGAAATTCGAAGGAAGGAAGGTGGCTTGGAAAGGTCAGTAGGAAACGCATAACTCAGGGAGGCGCTCCGGGGGCGCTGCCCGAGGCGTGGGGAGAGCGGGAGGGCGCCAGGCGGGAGCCGTGACCCAGGGCTGCACTTCTTGGCAGAGGTCCAGGGCCGGGCCGCGCTCGGTCACCCGCCCAGGGCCGGGTCGGGGCGCTGCGGAGCGGGTGTCCGGCGGGGAGCCAGCCCAGCTCCTGCCTGCAGACTGTGCGGGCGCCGTTGCCTGGCAACCAAAGATCTTTCCTGCCAAGATGGAGAGCCGGGCTGAGGTGGGCCTTTGGGGTCTGGTTTGGTTTGGTTTTCTGGATAATCAAGCAGCTTAAAAGTCCCGGGTACGGCCTGACCACAAGGTCAACCCTGGCCCCTGGGAACCCCACCTCGAGTGAGGACCCCAGGGAGACCTGGCTGTCCCGGCATCACGAGCAGGTGGGGGGCGCATCCCCTCGGTACAGGAGCGGGCGCGGCACCCGCCCCCTGCCCGCTGCTGGGCGGCTGTCGGGGTCAGAGGCGCGGGTTCTCGGCGATACTTGCAGGAAGGCCCTTGACCCCGGCCCGGCCTTCCTGACAGTGACTCTGGAGACGCGGCCCCGCCCGCAGGACCGGGCTTTGCGCCGACGGGTCATGGTCTCTGCTTTTCCGGCAACAACAAGCTCCTCAGGTCCCCTCAAGGCGGTGTGAGACGCAGCTCCAGGCGGAACAGCTCCGGCTCTCCCTCCGGGGCGACGCCGGCTCCTTCTCTTCCGCCGCCGGGGCGCGCCCAGCGCCCCCGTGACCTTCCTGCCCCCGGGGACCTTCTTCCACCGGGTCTTCGACGTGCGCTCCCGCTGCCTGCGCGAAGGCTGAGCCGGCCGGGCCGCGCCCCTGCCGAGGCCCGTGCTGCGGCCCGGCTCCGGGAGGAGGGCCGGGCGAGGCCCCGCCGCAGGGCGCCGAGGAGGGCGCGGGGCGTCGAGGGCAGTGGCCGGGCGAGCCGGAGCAGCTCCTGCCCCCGGGCCCGGGGGCGCCCCCCCGAGCCGGAGCAGGGGCGGGGCGGCCCGGCGGGTCCTCCCGGGGAGTCCGGGGGCTGCGCGTCCCGCCGGCCGGAGCGCGGGGGTCCCCGGCGCGGCCGCTTCCTCCGGATCTCGGCGGCCGCGTCGGCAGCGGCGCTGACTGTCGCCTCGGCGCGGGGGGCGCGCGCGGGGGGCGCGGGGGGCGCGGGGGCGCGCGGGGGGCGCGGGGGGCGCGGGGGCGCGCGCGGGCGCGGGGGCGGGGGGCGCGCGCGGGGGCGCGGGGGGCGCGGGGGGCGCGCGGGGGGCAGCAGCTGGGGGGCCGCCGAGGCAGAGCGCGGGGGGCGCGGGGGGCCCGGCGTGGGGGCCCGGCGTGGGGGCGGGGCGGGGCGGGGCGGGGCCCCCGGGGCGACCGTGTGGCGCTCGGCTCCGCGGCAGCTCCGCGGCAGCCTTCTGCACCCCCGTGTCCCCTTCCCATGGTTGCCCCCCAAATTTGCCTATTAGGGGTTGCGCCCCGAGGTGGGGTTGCCGGGACCCCCAGGCGCAGGGCTTCCAGCCGCACAGGTGTCAAGAAAAAAATCTGTCATAACTGATTGGCTGTCTGTCGAGGGGGCTGCTCTGATTGGCTGTATTTTGAGGGGCTGCTCTGATTGGCTAGCTTGCAGAGGGGCTGCTCTGATTGGCTGGCTTGCAAAGGGGCTGCCTTGATTGGCTGGCTTGCAGAGAGGCTGCTCTGATTGGCTGGCTTGCAGAGGGGCTGCCCTGATTGGCTGCTTGCAGAGGGGCTGCTCTGATTAGCTGTCTTGCAGGGGGCTGCCCTGATTGGCTGCTTGTAGAGGGGCTGCCCTGATTGGCTGGCTTGTAGAGGGGCTGCCCTGATTGGCTGCTTGCAGAGGGGCTGCTCTGATTGGCTGCTTCCAGGGGGGCTGCTCTGATTGGCTGGCTTGCGGAAGCCACGTGCCGTGGACGCTGCCAGAGGCGCACGGCTGGTTGCGGGCGCGGCCGGCGTCACTGACCCGCGCGCCGGGGTCAGGCCGCGCCCGTGACACGCGGCCCCAGCCCAGGACGCCGCTGCGCGCCCGGCCAAGTCCCGGGGGCGCGGGCCTCCCGGGCGCCGACGCGCGCTGCGGGGACTCGTGGGCGGGCCGGTCCCTCGGCGAGGGCTCCACACGGCCGCGGGCGCCGGGGCGGCGGGCGCTGTCCCGGGGAGGCCGTCGGCGAGGCTGCCTGGGGGCCCCCCCGGCCCGCGGGCGCCCCAGAGCCGCGCCTGAGAGGGGCCCTCGCGCCGGGGATGAGCGGGGCCGGTCCGTGCTGCAGGCCGTGTGCAGGGGGCGGGACCCCAGAGCCCCGCCCCGCCTGGGCCCCGCCCCCGCCTCGCCCCTCCCCGGCCCCGCCCCTCCCCGGCCCCTTCCCGGGCCCGCCCCTCCCCGGGCCCCCCCCCCCTCCCGGCCCCCCCGCCCCCGCCCCCGCCCCTCCCCGGCCCCGCCCCTCCCCGGCCCCTCCAGGCCCCTCCCCGGGCCCCCCGCCCCTCCCGGGCCCTCCCCACTCCCCCCACCCCTCCCCGGCCCTCCCCCGCCCCGCTCCGCCCCGCCCCCCGGCCGCCCCGGCCCCGCCCAGGCCCTCCCCGCCCCTCCCAGCCCCCCCGCCCCCCCCCCCCCCCCCCCCCCCCCCCCCCCCCCGCCCCTCCCCGGCCCGCCCCCGCCTCCCCGGCCCCCGCCCCCGCCCCTCCCCGGGCCCCCCCAAGGCCCCTCCCCGACCCCCGCCCCTCCCGGGCCTCCCCCCCCCCACCCCTCCCCGGCCCTCCCCCGCCCCGCTCCGCCCCGCCCGCCCCGGCCCCGCCCCGGCCCCGCCGCGGCCCCTCCCAGGGCCCGCCCCCGCCCCTCCCCCGCCCCGCCCGGCCCCGCCCCGGCCCCGCCCCGAGCCCCCCCCCACGGCGCGGGGCCGCGAGGGCCGGTCAGTGCCCGGCTCGAGCGGCCCCTGAGTCACAGGCGCCTCCCCCGAGGCCACACGTGGGCGCGGCCCGGGCTCCCGGGGATGGACCGGCGCGCACCGAGGGGCGCCGAGTCCCGCGCGCCGTGGACCTGCGCGTTCCGCGGGAGCCGCACGCCGGGCGGGCAGCGTCTTCCCTCCGGCCCGCGCGCGGCCGGCGGCGCGGGCGCGGGGGGGGGGGGGGGGGTTTGGCGGCCCGCACGGGCGGGGGAGCCGGCCCGCCCCGACGGACGGACGCGCGGCAGGGCAGGTCGGACACCAGCCGGGACACCGGCCCCGGCCCCCCCCCGCGCCCCCCCCGCGCCCCGCCCTCGGCTTGAGCCCTCGGGGTGGCGGGGGGGGGCCGGCCGGCGGGGGCGGCGGCGGGGGGGTGGCCAGCGGGGGGGGGGCGGCGGGGGGGGGCCGGCGCGGGGGGCGGCCCGGTGAGCGCGGGCGGGGCCGCGAGGGGCGCCCTGGGGGGCGGCGGGCCGCGGGCGCGTGGGGGCCGCGGGCCGGTTGAGGGCAGAGCGCGGGCGCGCCCGGGCCGAAGACCAGCCTGGGCCCGGGGCCAGGGCGCCCCGCCGGGGCGCGGCCAGAGCCGGGCGGGGGGGCTCCCTGCCGTCCGCCACGGGCGCGGGCACCCCCAGGCCGCGGAGCCCCCCGCCCCCCGCAGGCCCGAGGCTCGGAGCTGGCGCCGGCCCGACTCCCGGCGGCGTCGGGGGGACGGCCGCGCCCGCGGGGTGGGGGTGCGGCGCGGAGGCCGGGCTGCGGGCGCGGGGTCCCCCGCGGAGGCGCGAGCCGCTGAGGGGGGGGCCGCGCTCATCTCTGAGCGATCTTGGGGAGCAAACAAGCTTTTAATTAAAATTTTACTGACTTTTAACTTGAATTTCCCCATCTGCTCCCCTAATTATGCCCAACCCTAACCCAGCGCCGCCATCTGGCTCCAGGCTCAGCAGACGGGGTTACGGGCCTGGCGCCCCAGAGCCGCGGCCGCGGGGAGGGGGTGTCCCGGGTCCACTGGGGTGGGGCGTGGCCGCGGGGAGGGGCGTGGCCCGCGGGAGGGCGTGTCCGGTGGGGGCGTGTCGGGATGGGCGTGGCCCG